TATCTTTTTTGCGATGAGAGGACCCCATCTGTACGCAGTATTCAGGATGTGGGTGTACCATGGATTTATAGACGGGCAATAAGATATTCTCCGTCTTACTCTCTATCCCTTTTCAAATGACTCCTAACATCCCGTTTGCTTTTTTGACTGCCGCTGCACACTGCATGGACGTCTTCAGAGAACGATCCACGATGACTCCAAGATCTTTCTCCTGATTACTTGTAGCTAAATTAGCCCCCATCATATTGTATGTATAAATTGGGGTTATTTTTTCCAATGTGCATTACTTTACATTTATCCACATTAAATTTCATTTGCCATTTTGTTGCCCAATCACTTAGTTTGGTGAGATCTTTCTGAAGTTCTTCACAGTCTGCTTCGGTCTTAACTATCTTGAGCAGTTTAGTATCGTCTGCAAACTTGGCCACCTCACTGTTTACCCCTTTCTCCAGATCATTTATGAATAAGTTGAATAGGATTGGTCCCAGGACTGACCCTTGGGGAACACCACTAGTTACCCCTCTCCATTCTGAAATTTTACCATTTATTCCTACCCTTTGTTCCCTGTCTTTTAACCAGTTCTCAATCCATGAAAGGATCTTCCCTCTTATCCCATGACAACTTAATTTACCTAAGAGCCTTTGGTGAGGGACCTTGTCAAAGGCTTTCTGGAAATCTAAATACACTGTGCCCACTGGATCCCCCTGGTCCACATGTTGGCCTCCTCAAAGAACGCTAATAGATTGGTAGACATGATCTCCCTTTACAGGCACCTTAAAGACTAACAGATTTATTTGGGCATAAGCTTTCGTAGGTAAAAAAACCCCACTTCTTCAGATGCATGGAGTGAAAATTACAGATAGAGGCATAAATATATATCATATTATACATATATATTTATGCCTGTATCTGTAGTTTTCACTCCGTGCATCTGAAGAAGTGGCTTTTCACCCATGAAAGCTTATGCCCAAATAAATCCGTTCGTCTTTAAGGAGCCACCGGACTCCTCGTCGTTTTAGTACAATATTCACATGCCGGTTGACTAATTTTATAATGATAGGGTAAAATTGAGAAAGTCCGTAATTTTTCAGTAATAGCATGGCTGTAACACTTCTGTATTTTATGCCTGGTTTTGTAAGCGAGCAGTTTTTAAGTTAGATGACACTTGGCTGTATGCAAGACAAATCAGCCTCCTGAAAGGGGTACAGTCGTCCGGAAAGGCTGACAGCCGCTGGCATGGAGCATTTTCACTAGTTGCACTACGGTGGTGCAAATGCACCAATCAATGCCCGCAGCCAGTCATAGAAGATCAGGGTTGGAAGGGACCTCAGGAGGTATCTAGTCCAACCCCCTGCTCAAAGCAGGACCAAGCCCCAATTTTTGCCCCAGATCCCTAAATGGCCCCCTCAAGGATTGAACTCACAAGCCTGGGTTTAGCAGGCCAATGCTCAAACCATTGAGCCATCCCTCCCCCCCAGTCTAGTGGGCATTAGAAGAAGGTGCATTTAATGTAGACACTGGCAGAATACGGTCAATGTAAACGGCCTTACATCGATCTAACTCTGTAGTGTCCACCACAGCTAAGATCACATCATGTCTAGCTCACCAACAGAAGTTGGTCCAATAAAAAAAAAAAATTGCTTACCGTGTCTCTCTATTTTAGCAAATGGCCATTTGTCTCAAAGTCCGCAATGCATCTTAGCGACGTTCTGGCAATCTCATATCTAGTTATGTGGCCACCCGGCCTTCAGGAAAAAAATCCACATCAAACAGATGTGCAAGACACTTTCAGTTTCATGTAAAGTGAAATTCCAGAGCATGTGTGTGTTTGATGACCCAGAATCAGGACAAGAGATTCATCCACTGCATTCTCCTCTAATCTTTTCAAATCTGTTTCCCAGAGAAGTCTCATTATTATTATTAGTTATTTTATTTAAGGGTTAGAATCATCATAACGGGAACAACAGTCCACATTTTCACCGGCAAACAATCCAAACTCAGCAGGAAAAAGTCCAGAAGTGGCTTTGTAAATACACGGAATCTGGGATTTAAACTCTGAATGATCACACTGTGTTTGGGATCCACTCAAATTCCCCTTCCAGCTCTGAGACATTTTCATCTCCAGCCCTAGTGAGTCTGATTTAGGATCAAAGAAATCAAAACACGATTCCAAAACCCAGAGGAGGGCTATTAGGATGATCAGAGGAATGGAGAACCTACCTGATGAGAGGAAACTGAAGATAGGATTGCTTTCTTTAAATAAATCAGAGGCATAAAACCCCAGGCAGGGAGAGGAGGTATTTAAGTTGGGCCCTGCATGAGACTGAGCACAAATGGATATTATCTGGCCCTCAAGAAATTTAGGCTTGAAATTACAAGAAGGTTTCTAACCCCCAGAGGAGAGAGATTCCAGAACAGCTCGGTCGGCAGTGGGGGCAAAAAACCTAGCTTGTTTCAAGGCTGACCTTGAAAAGTTTATGGAGGGGACAGCATGATGAGACTGCCTACAATGGCATATGCACCCCTGCATGACTGCTGTTACAAATATCTCCAGTGGCCAGAGATGGGACACTCGGGGGAGAAGGCTCCGAGTCCCTACAGAGAATTTCCCCCCCACATGCTCACAGTCTAACTAATCACCATATCTGGGGTAGGGAAAAAATTCTCCCCCAGCTCAGATTAGTAGAGACCCTCCGAGAGGAGTCGGAGGGGGGGAAGGGAGGGAGCGGGGACTTACCTTCATCTGCAGTGTGGGGCACAGGTAGCTTGCTGGTTTGAACTAGAGTAAATTGTGGAGTCTTTGTAACTTGAAATCTTTAAGTTATGATTTGGAGACTTCAGGAGCTCAGCCAGAAGTTGAGTACAGGAGTGGGTGGGGGAGGTTCTGTGGCCTGCCATGGGCAGGAGGTTAGACTAGATGATCATGATGGTCCTTTCTAGACTTCAAATCTATTAGCCCCTGAGAGCGGACGACACTGCATCATGGGACAGTTTGGGAGGTGGAGAGGCAGAATGTGAAAAAGATAAACTCCGCGTGGATCAGACACACGGGAACACCGCAGGGGTGATGCAGCAGGAGGGAATCCCTGCGAATCACCCCATCGCCTTAGGATGTCACAGAGGCTGAAATGACGTGTTTTGCCCCACCGTGTTCCTGCTTTTTATTTAAATATATTTGAAATGAGGAAAAAGGTACAAAACATCCTCAGCCCACCCCAGGGCAATGTGTGAGCAACTGGGAACGAGGCGATCTGTTCCAGAGGGTGAACTCCGCGGCTCTAACAATCACTTTGCAGTGGGAGGAACAGTATAAATGTGATGCTCCAGGTTGGCTTTGACCAGGAGATGGAGGTTAAGGCACGCGATGTGGCCGTGTGCTAGATAACAATGGACACGATACAGAGTTTGTCATTACAAGACAAGAGTAGTTGGGCTTTTACATCCGGATAGCTAACGCGAGCTACCTAACTCCATAGAAAATCCTACTGGGGATGAGGCCCAAGCAGATTTTACACTGATATCGCTCAGTGGCTCCCAAACTGGGGTTCGTGAACCCCTGGGGGTTTGCAGAACGTTACAGGGGGTTCACCAGAAAAATTTCACTAATGGCGGCCAGAGGACCCCGGGCATTGGAGGCGGTGGGTGGGCAGGGCGGACAGTTGCAGGGCAGACAGCCCGAGCCCCAGGGAGAGCGGGGCAGGGCAGCTGGGGCTGGTAGCCTGAGCCCTGCCCCCTGAGCGGGGGAGCCGGCAGCCCAAACCCCAGCGTTATGCGTGGGGCTGGCAGCCCGAGCCCCAGGGAGAGCGGGGCCGGGCAGTTGGGGCTGGCAGCCCAAGCCCCAGCGGTCAGCGGGACCTGCAGCCCGAGCTCAGTGGAGCTCAGTTGACCGGGGCGGAGTGCAGAGGAAATTTAAACTTAAATCCCGGGAAATATTCATTCTTAGGAGGCGGTTCACGAGATTTCACAATTTAGTGAAAGGGGTTTGTGGGCTGTTAAAGTTTGGGAACCATTGATACAGCTAATGGAGACCACCCACACCTTGCGCCGATGGGCGTCCCCGGGAGGAGGGGCACACGTTCTCATGACGGATATAGGGTTATAGACTTTACAGAAAGGACCGTGGGATTCACCCCAAAGAAGGCCTAGCTGCGAAAGACAATAGTGGGCAACCACGTGGGGATCCGAGGGCCCACAGTGAAGCAAATGGTGCAAAGAGCCTTAAAAGTCTTGACGTCGGAATTAGGAAAAGCATGAAAGAAAAAAAACCCAATCTGTCAGCCCCTAGATACAGTTTTTATTGTTTGTTAGGCGTGCTCGTGACAACATAGGATTCAGGCCTCTATTCTTGCCTGAGATAGCGTTTTAGGTCTCGTTTGCCCCTTTGATTCTTGATACACCTCTATTCTTACTAATGTGTGTGAACAAAGGGATCCGTACTAGTGTGTGTGAACAAAAGACAGAAACACTGTGTACATGGCCTCTGCCTAGCCAGAGGGGTTCCTTAGTATAACGGGAGCTGATAAGAATAGTTAAAGTGTTACTGGGCAGGGTACAATTGAAGACTGCCTCAACTGCTATTTCGAGGCAAGGTCAAGCAACCAGGTGGGAGGGGCAAAGGGGGGGTCTGGGGAGGGGCAGGTATAAAACACTAAAAGGCCAAAGAAATGCCGGTCCCTGCCCGTAGCACAACCTCACTCCTCACCCCTCCCATGGGGTACAAAAGAGGTGGGATGAAGACCCCAGACCCATGGCCCCCCCATAATGGAACATGACCATAAGTTGTAAGCGGTGGGACTGTGGGCCTGTATTTCAGGTATAGTTATGCTTGCTGAGGAGGGGGGGAAGAGGACACTGGGAAACAAGGCTCTGCAGCGTCAGAGTTAAGGACATGCTTGCTGGAAACTAACCCCAATAAACATCGCATTGCCTGCATTTTGGACTTCTGGGGTGCTTTGTGTCTGCGTGGCAAGAACCAAGGGAAGGGGTGAAGGGAAAGCCTTCTAACATGGTTGAGGATTTCCCATGTGGATTTTCTGATGTGTGATCAGGTTTGAACGCCGAGTGAAGGATTTCCCACACTCAGGGCATGCGTAGGGTCTCTCCCCCCCGTGGATTCTCTGGTGAGTAATAAGGTGTGAGCGCTGAGAGAAGCGTTTCCTGCACTCACAGCATCCATAGGGTCTCTCTCCCGTATGGATTCTCTGATGTGAAATAAGGGCTGAGCGCTGAGTGAAGGTTTTCCCACACTCACCGCATGCGCAGGGCCGCTCCCCGGTGTGGGTTCTCTGATGCACAATAAGAATTGAGCTCTCATTGAAGCTTTTCCCGCACTCACAGCAGTTGTAGGGCTTCTCCCCCTTGCGGTTTTTCTGATGTCTCATAAGGTTTGAACGCTTAGTGAAGCTTTTCCCGCCCTCGCTGCGTTCATAGGGTCTCTCTGCCGTATGGATTCTCTCATGATTAATAAGGGTTGAGCGTCTACGGAAGTTTTTCCCACACTCAGCGCCGGTGTTTTTTCTCTCTCCGGTGAGGATTCTGCGCTGGCCTGTGGTTCCCTTGAGGTCTTTGTGAGTTGCCCGACAATTAATGGATTCATCCACCTTCTCCGCTGGCTGCTCTGTCTGCTGCCTCTCTGTGGATAACTCCAGTGAATTAGATTCTATATTTTAGGAGCAACAGACCCTGATTCCTCTGGAAAGGAGAAAGCGAGAAAGAAGAATCAGGCCCTGCGGCTTCAGGAGGGACCGACTCAGAGATGCCAGGAACCTGCCGGGAAGACAGACTATGGCTGCTGCAGATGGAGAGGGGGTGAAGTGAGACCCTCTCGGTCCCCAGAAGTTTCCCTACCAACGGAGGACATCACAAGAAAGCACACGTGTGTGGCAGGGCAGGATGGTGGGGTCGCTGTGAGAAACATAACGTTTCAGCGAAGGTGGCTGAGTGACAGGGCATACGAAAGAGATGTGTGCGTGTGGTGAGCGGGGAAAGGCACTGAGAATCGTCGGACTGGAAGGGGTCTCGAGAGGTCTTCTATTCCAGTCCCCTGCACTCAAGCCGGGAATAAAAATTAGCTAGACCATCCCTGTAATGAAAGAGGTGCCAGGGCTCAAGCTGGGCGGCTGGAAAGTGGCGACGTTTCTATGGTTCCTAGTATCACTTTTCGGCAGCTGTCTGGGAGGCTGAGAAAAGTGATATTAACAAACATACAAGTGCTATGTTGGCGGGAGACATGGCTGGGTTTATTATGCAGACGGTACAGCTGTGCCGATCTCAGGTCTGCCGTGTAGACGTAGCCCTGTAAGTCTGCTGTGAAAAGTGAAACTTCTTTGTTTGTCGATATCAAATTCACAGCAAGCGCCGGGGCAAATTAAGCCCTGGATAAGAGGTTAGAGGGGAGGCAGTGGGGGCCAGGGGTGATGGGGGTGAGCCCCACTGCCCCGTGGCCAGAGCTGGGGCCCCTGCAGACAAGCCCCCCAAGTCCCGCTGCCGGAGCCTGCCTGAAATCTGAGCCCCACCGCTCCCCTCAAAGGTGGGTCTAGGACTTACCTTGGTCCTCCTGTGTCGTACCCCACCTGTCTCCTGCAGGGCGGAGGGGGAAGGGCCGCGGCTTTGTTCCTCCGCCTCCATCACCATCCAGGAGGCTGCTGGTGGCCACATTTGAGAAACGCTGCCCTGGACCCTTGCTGACAGATTTTGTCCTAACCTGGGCTGAAAATCCCTTCAGTGATGGGGATCCCACCGTCTACTCGTAACCTATTCCAGTACTTCTCTATCCTCACTGTTAGAATTTTGTTCCCCAATATTCAACCTAAATCTCTCTGGCTGCAGAGTAAGCCAATTACTTCTTGTCCTCCCCCTGTGAAGGTGGAGAATAATTGATCACCGTCCTCTTTGTAACAGCCCTTAATATATAGGAAGCCTGACATCAGGTTCCCTCGCAGCCTTCTTCTCTCATGACTAAATATACCAAATTTTGTCACCCTTTCCTTTTCGGTCACGTCTGAGGAGAATGAGGCAGCTTTGCGGCGGTTTACTTCTGAATGGATACGAGCAGGGCCAGACTGCGTTGGTCAAGGTGAGAGAACAGGATGTTGCGGTATTTGAAATGGGGATGATCTCCTGCCCAAGAGCTTTAGCTGTGTGGATGGGTAGCAAAAGCCCTATTTGAGCGACATTATGCAGAAAGAAAACACAAGATCTAGACACGGCCTGGATGTGAGGCACTGCAGGGGAGTCCGTGGTGAGGGCGATGCCGAAATTACAGGCCCGAGTGACGGGCAGGATAGTGATGCTTTCCACAACGATAGAGAAAAAAGAGATGGTGGGATGGCTGGGGGGATTTATTAAGAGCTCTGCTTTAGCCGTTTTAACTGTTGAGCTTGAAGTCAAGGAGAGGTTAGAGAAACCGGCTGGGATTTTAGTTTGGACAGAAGGAGACGGGTCTGGAGTAGAGAGGTAGATCGGTGAGTCACCAGCTGTATTTGAGTGTGTGGAGGAGATTCCCCAGAGATCAGGTGTAGAGGAAGAAGAGACCAAGGAATCCCCACAGAAAGTTGGAGGGGCGATGCGGAGGATCCTCCTAAGGAGACGCTGAAGGAGAGATAGGGGAGAACCAGGAGAGGACAAAGGAAGACAAGATTTCAGGAAGAGGGGTATGGTCCATGGTGTCGAGGGTGACAGGCCAAGGAGGATGAGGATGGAGGGATGGTTCTGAGCTTTGCCTTGGGACAGGGCATTACAGACTTTGGAAAAAGCAGTCCCAGTGGAGTGCCCTAAATCTCTGCCTCCTTGAAACCTTCCCTTCCCACCCCCACCAGACCCTCCTCACCAGGGCTGGCTTTAGGGGAAACGGCCCCCTGGGTGAACTTGTATTTTGGCGTCCCCCCGCCCCGTCATCCCAGGCCCCCCGCGGGTTCCCCAGCACCTCCAGACCCCACTGCCTCCCCCCAGTGCTTCATTTCAGCCTCGGCACAAACTAAGCCCTGGCAGGCAGCCTGATCGCAGCCGGGGCTGGCTGGGCGCCCAGCTCTGAAGGCAACGCCACCGCCAGCAGCCGCGCGGAAGTAAAGGTGGCCTGGTCTATGGTGCATTGCCACCCTGACCTCTGCGCAGCTGCCGTGGCTTGCAACGCCTGGCACTTGGCTTGTGGCTCCGGGCGAGCTTTGTTCTGTCACACAGGGCTGCATCTTGCCAGAGCCCACGGCCTCCCGCAGCCCTCTGGCCACTCCTGACTCACCGGGGCACCGTTTCCGATTTTGGGGAGCGGGGGGCAACTTTAACTGTGATTCCAGGGGCTACTTAGGCACCTGAAAACTCTAGGGTTTTGTTGCAGATAACTACTTAGGAATTAGCTGACAGAAGCACTGTATCTAATTGTTATATAAAGAAAGAACAATATATACAAACTCCAGTTAAAGCCACATTTTAAATTTCCATGTCAATATAGAGCAATCAGGAGCTAATACAGCAAGATATTCCCAATCCCAAACCTTGAAGTATCAGTCCTGGAGCTTTAGCGCAGATCTCAGAAACACACGTTTGATATGTTGTACGCTGTCTTTCGTAGAGATAAATAAAAATAAATAAAATCTGCTTACTTTCTCTAATGGAAACACTCAATGTTTCTGCCATTAGTCAATTGTTTTTCACTCCACTAAAAATGCATTTACTTAATTTTAACATACGTGATTAAGGTGTTTTTTTCTCTCTCGCATTAAGAACAGGAATTTATTTGTCTAATTATTCTGGCGTTTATGTTTATCGAACACCACCGTGTACGTGACTCACTGACGTTAGACTCCATCGTTGCTGTTAATATATTTGGAGCTGCCTTTGTTTTCACAGGAATTTTAAGTTACTTTACAGCTGTAACTAAAAATACAATTTGAAAATAAGCGACCTTCATCTGCAGAGTGTCTACAGTTATGGGCTTAGCTAATGTTTTTTAAACCAGCACTGTTAAGGGGATACAAGCTAAATTTACACTCTAGGAGGATACTGTTATTTGATTGTACCGTTTTAAATAATGAATGACAAAGCACAACACGGTAATCACAGTAATGACGATAATTACTCCAGCCAGGACAGGCTGGGCATTTTAGCCCCCACCCCTCAAAGAATTAAATTGAAGCATAAGAGAGAAATAAAATGATGAAATGCACAGACGGGGCGAAAAACGAAAATAACAGCCCTGCAATCCTTCGTGAACGTTGAAAGAATCAAAATTACAAAAAGAGAACGTTTGTGCCTTGAGCATTTCGAGAGGAACTACCCAGAATAACAACAACAGCAAAAACACAAGTGCGTGTTGTGGGGAGGGGGTGTGTGTTGGGGGAGTGAGAGAGATGGAGTGTGTGTGTGTGTGTGTAAGAGAGAGCGAGTGCAGCTTGGCCGGGGCGGCTCCAAGTCGGGGGAGGAGGCAGGACCGGGGGGCCAGACTGGGGGAGCCGGGGGGCCAGAGCACCATCACTTTTTACTGGCTGTAAGGGTGAGCAAAGAGGGAAAGGGGGTGGAGAGGAGCGAGTGGGGGGGTCTTTGGGGGGAAGAGGAGGTGCGAGGGTGGGGACTTGGGGTGAAGGGGCGGGGCGAGGGTGGGGGCCATGGTTCGGATGCTGGTGGGCCCCCCCACACTTTTAGGGAGCTTCCGTCACTCCCGGGCATTTGCAGCAGTGGTTTCAGGTGGCCGAAGAGCCGCAGGGGGAGGAGGGGGAGGACACCCCTGCTCCGGAGGCGCCCGGCCCTGCTCCTCACTCCCGAGAGCGACCCCCCTGAAAACCCTCCCCGCAAGCCTTCCGCGTGCCCGGCTACCCCTTGATTATTTGATCAAGTCATGGAGGCATAGCCTCCCCCCGCTCCCCTCAACACAACCTTAACTCTGCCCCCAACTGCAGAGCAGACAATAGCGCCGGGGAATCGTTCACTCCGGGTGATGCAAAGGGTCACAAACTGCCACGGGAAGCAGAGGAATCACCCAGGCTGGGCGCCTTTCTAGGAGATGATGTCGTCCCACACAAGGCTTTCATCTCAGTCCAGCAGGAACTTGCCCCTCCGGGCCTTAAAAATCTCTGAATCTAGGAATTATCCTGGGACGGAGTGCTCCCCTGCACTCAAACCCTGCACACCACTGCGATAATCTGTGTGCAAATTACATCCGGTGAGGGATCGTTTGAGAACTCTTAACAGGCTGGTCAGTGTTCTCGTAATTAAATATATGTAGCAACGTCGTGTGTAAAGTTATGAAATTCCCCCGTACGACGTTAGCCCATGTTCAAAACCCCACAGCCCTGCCCCGGACAGAAGCTGGTAAATAGGTCTGACCCAAAGAAAAGCAATGTGTGTTTGACTTAATTTGCATATAAGCAGTAAACAGGATCATCCAACAGCAAAAGGGAGAAGGCAGACAGGCAGGAAAATCTCAACAGACACAGACGAGAAGAAACAGCATGACCCTTCTTTCACCAGCGGACTTCATGTCCCCTCTCTCTCAGCTGAGAAGAACTTTTACCAAGGGGTCACTCTGAGGAAAATGCCAGTCCGAGGGCGATGGAACGAGGGCTGTCAATCCCACTGAATTTAAGCGATGAACTCAACTCCAAAAAGTTAATCCCAAGTAATTGCAACGTTACACAATAACAGCATACCAATTTAAATTTATTGTAA